AAATAATTAATAAAATATTTTAACTAATTATCTGATATGTATTTGAAATATCAAACTCTGAGAAGCGATGCCGTCTTTTTTTTGACGAAATTTATATTAGACATCGGCTGTTTCCCAGTAGGCACCGGACTAAAAAAACGTCTTTTGAACGTTTAAAAGACGTCCAAAACGTTCATAAGACGTTCAAAAGACGTCCAAAACGCGTATAAGACGTTTAAAAACTTATTAAAGTCTATCTGATTTTTTCATTTATTTTTGATTTTATCATATAAAAACAATAAAGGTTATAATAATAAAAAAAAAAACTTCTCTATAATAATGTGTTGCAACACATTATTATAGAGAAGTTTTTTTTTTTTAATTATTATAACCTTTATTGTTTTTATATGATAAAATCAAAAATAAATGAACTATACTATTTATATTGTATTTTCTTAAATAATGCAATATAAATAGTATTATATTGTATATACTTTATATACTTTTTGTTGTTGTTGAAATTACGTAATGTTAACATTTAAAATTATTCCTATAAAATGTTTAACTTAATTAATTTATTGAATTTATTCTTAAAACTTATTAATCTAATAACATCTTAAATAGTTTCAAAAAAAAACTAAACCCTTTTTCAATTTTTTAGCCCTCTCGTCAAAATTACATGAAATTAAAGTCTTACATCCCAGTATTTTAATAGCCACTGTATATATATATATATATATATATATATATATATATATATATATATATATATATATATATATATATATATATATATATATATATATATATATATATATATATATATATATATATATATATATATATATAATATTTATGTATTATAGTTTTATATATAAATACTAAATAATAAATAAATACTGACTTTAAAAAAGATACACATTAATATATAAAAATATATAATATTGAATACTGAGTAAACAAATACTAACATTAAAAAACGTTCAATAAATATGCATCAACCTAATAAAATAGTAATTGTTATAATAATTATAATAATATCTTTATAAAATATATTTAATACTTTCAAAAAAGAAGAGAAAAGTATTTCAGTATTTGACCTTCTTTTGCAGGAATAAAACCTGTATTTAAAAATTGTTAAAAGTTTTTTGTAACAATTTTTAATTGCTATTTATTACTGATAAATAATGAACCTTCTTTCCAATACTATATTATATTAATTATCAATTGTTTTTATTAAATTTATATAAAATAGTTATTTAGTTACATATTTGACAATATGTGTCAATATGTGGCAATATGTATATGGCAATATGAAAAGATGTAAAAATTGATAAATTAAATAAAGTGGATTAAAAAAAAATAAACAGTGAAGAAAGACAATATTACTGTCTTTCTATATATTTTAAATATTTTTTTAATCCACTCTATTTTATTTATCAACTTTTACATCTTTTATCATTTTTTTTTTTTCACTTTTAATACAACTTTTTAACTTTGCTTGATATAACATGTGGAGTACTCCAGGGATCGATTTTGAGACTCTTACTATTTCTTATTTACATTAATGATCTTTAATAAGTCTCAGGTTTAATTATTATTATGTTTGCAGATGCCGCTCTTCTGTTTTTATCTCGCAATAAGACAAATTTTTTTTAAAAAAACATGAAAAGTTAACAAATTAAAATCTCTGATTGGTCATAGACAAATAAACTCAATACAAATAAATCTCTTAGTATTGATAAAATGGGTTTTCTTCCACCCTCATTTAAAAAAAAAACCTGCTAAATCACATGCCTTCTAATTTTATTGATAATATTTTAATGAAAAAGTAAACTTCACCAAATTTTTAGGCGTCTCAGATGTGTAAGTGACAAGATGACTTTCATAACTAAACTATTTGCCTAAAACAAAGGCTAAAATTGATAAAAGCTGCATTACGAGGGTCGAAGAAGAACTTTTACAAAACGCCAAGTGGTAGGTATTCATCAAGTGGTAGGTATTCATCAAGTGGTAGGTATTCATCAAGTGGTAGGTATTCATCAAGTGGTAGGTATTCATCAAGTGGTAGGTATTCATCAAGTGGTAGGTATTCATCAAGTGGTAGGTATTCATCAAGTGGTAGGTATTCATCAAGTGGTAGGTATTCATCAAGTGGTAGGTATTCATCAAGTGGTGGTATTCATCAAGTGGTAGGTATTCATCAAGTGGTAGGTATTTATCAAGGTATTTATCATAGGACAATAAAAATCTTGTTTTTTAAAATAATTTAAAAAAATAAAATAAAAATGGTAGACTTGATTTTGTCTATAATGGATTTTCTAAAGTGTTTTGCAATGTTTATAAAATCACTTAAGAAAGTATAAATTTTTCACAAAAATTTCACAAGATATTTGTAACATACTGAAAAGAAGATAAAAATTAATTTAAAAAAATCCAAAGAAAAATGGTTTTAGTGTGAAGCCTACCATACTTCAAGTTAATTTAATGAAAACTATATAACAGTATAATACTATTTTTATTAACAAGAAACTGTTTTGACGCGTTTAACATAAGCGGTTCTCATAACAAGGCTTCCAAGTATTCTTTAAGAATCAGCGTTCTATTCATTTTTTTTTTTTTTTTTTAATTTTTCTTTTTATTTATTTTAAATATTCTTAAATTGTAAGTTTTTCTTATTTTCCGTTCTATTATTTTGTATAAAAATTGTAATATAATAATGAACAGAAAAGAAAAAAAAAAAAGAAAATAGAAAAACATGAACCTTAAAACAATATTAAAATTAAAAAACAAAACTTATATATGAATAAGAACTTAAATCCATTTCAGTTTATCTTATTAAATGTCAATGCAACAAAACGTATATTGGTGAAACAAAAATGCAGAACAAAATAAATACAACAACAAAAACACAGTGTAAAACAAAAAACAGAACATTCTGCATTATCCACACACAAGAAACATTGCGTGTTACAAGTTAAATTTTTCTAAAAATTTTTACAAGTTTGAATTCTAAAAATTGATACTATCTTTCCAGTAATTGATTCTAAAAATTGTAACTAGCTAAAAACTGATGATACTTGACAAAAAAAAAATTGTAAAGGCAATTAAAATGTAGAACCACCAATGTGCCCCTTAATAAAATCTAAATAAGAGACAATATGGGTCAATAAAATTTTGGAAACGAATGTTTGCATCAGTCAAATCAGAGAACAATGAAACCATTCTTTTGAAGTACTCAATGCAACTAAGACCTGGTACACGTTTTTCTGAACAAAAATATAAGTTTTTTCAATCACAATATATGTAAGTTTTTTCATCAAAAAGTATGACATATTTGGTATGTGTGAAAAGATTATTTTAAAGACTATTATAATCTGGTAAAAGTAATGCAACTATAAAAAATCATCAAGCGTAGTTTTATTTAGAAAAGATGCATTTTTCAACATAAAGTACCTTGGGGCTTGGCTATAGATAAGTCTATAAATTGGATTTTTTCATAAAAGCACATATTGGTGCTTGTTTTCAATGACTGTAACTTGACATTTCTAATCAGACATATTTTGGGAAAATTATCTATGAAAAACAATTTTTTTATGAAAATTGAAGTTACAATTTTCAATACCACACCTATATGAGTATGTTTAACAATAATGCCACGTTTGATTTAGATAACCTATAGCAGTGTTAATTTTTCTACCAAAGTCGTTTTTGCATAACTAATCATAACTTTAAGTCCCATTTAAAAAACTGTATTTGGTATTTAGTACCATTTTTTGAAATACTCAGGACTTATAAGCCATCTTGAAATAATAAATTGTTCCATTCAGAATGCGTAAACAAAAAAAAAAAAGGCGGTAAACTTTTTAAATAAATTACTTTCAATTCGAGCTCTTTGTTTGCATAAATTAAATACCAATAACTAAAAAGTTTTTCGGTTTGCCACAAACGCCTTAGTTGCATTGAGTAAAATAGAAACCTTACTGTTTAAAAATAAATAACAAAAATATACAAAAAACTTTTAAGCCGAAGACGCAAGTGTTCATTCAACCGCAATGACAACAAACACCTTTTTATTGTTGCGTGAAATTCTCAATTTATTAAATCTCGTAGTTAATCTCAAAGTTCTCAATTAAACTTTTCCATGTTTGTGGTCCATATAATATTCGTGGCAAAATATCTTTCAGAATCTTTCCAAAATGTCTTTCAGAATCTTCAATTCTTTCTAAATTATTTTATAAGTGCTTGATTAAATCTTGTTCTCCTGCTGCCTGCAACATTGCACCTGTGGTTTCAACTTTTAAAAACTCCGGAGAACATTTTGATACCGCAAATATTCAACATCTCATCTTGAGTCAATTAACTTATTCTCTAAAAATTGATATGCTTTTTGATCTTTTCATTCTACGACTGACACAGTTAACTACTGTGACGGAAAGATTCTATTTAGCATTAGATGGAAGTGTCAAGCTAAGGGATAATTCCAATGAAATAGCTAATGCTTCCGTTAAAATTTAGCACATTGTCTTCTCCTTAACCTTGATTTTTATATTGTATCTAGAAAAATTATTCAGATTTATTCAAATTATTCAGCCAAATTATTTCTTTCTAATCGCTTTAATAAAATAAGTCTTGAAAGCCAAGGCTCTTCTTTATTATCAGTAACTGAGGAACCTCAAGGTTCTATCCTTGGTTCTAATTTGTTTCTTATCTACATTAATAATGTTAGACTATAATAAACGTTTTATTTTAGATATGCTTTTAAGCTAAAACACCTTAAACAGCTAGTTGAAACGTCTAAAAGACGTTTTAAAGACATTCTCATACTTATAATAGAAGACGTCTTTTATACGCAATTAAAGCGTCTTTTTAATTCATATTTTCAGATTTTATTTTAATTCCATATAAAGGCATCTTTCATACGAATTAATTATACGTCTAAAAACAGTTTAAAAAACATAGGTTTTTCTGATGGGAAGATAATTCTCAAATTATTTATGTAAATTAAATCAAATTAAAACCTAAATTTATTTCGATTTGATTGCATTCATCTTCAGCCTCAGATTTAATACCAAGTAACCAAAACTGATTTTTAAATGCTTTATCTCGTTGATTATCGGCCAATAGCCATCTCGGCGATTCTGGCATGCAAATTATTAAAATGTTGAACAGAACCAGAACTAATCCAATTAAAGCAAAAAAATAATAATTTATGTTCTCGTTGTTTGCATCTGCGGTCAAGTAATACACAAATATTCCAAGAACAATTGCATAATGAGTTATAGCACCCATTGTCCCGCGTAAACGTGGTGATGACACTTCAGCAACATAAACCTAAAAAAATAGAACAATAAAATATAAATATATATACGTATATATATATACGTATATATATATACGTATATATATATATATATATATATATATATATATATATATATATATATATATATATATATATATATATATATATATATATATATATATATATATATATATATATATGTATATATATATATATGTATGTATATATATATATATATATATATATATATATATATATATATATATATATATATATATATATATATATATATATATATATATATATATATTAGGGTGGGTCATTTTTTTTTCTTGTTACAGGCACTAAACATTGCTAATAGTTATTAATATTGATACTATCAAATATGATAATGATTGTAATAGATTTAAAGGGCGCAACTTTATTGGGAAAATTACCGGTGCCCTAATATTTTGGAGAAAAAAGTTTTTCAAAAGTAGGTCAACCTGGTACTCAAAAGAAGCGAAATTTTATAAAAAACTTGAAAATAATAGTTGTTTCATAAAAATCTATTTATTGCCGAAAAAAATTGTTATTAAAAAACATGTAAAAATGCACCTTTTTCACTTTTAGTGAAAAAACTATAGTTATTATGCAATAAAATCTAGAATAATAATTTTTATATGAAAAAATTATTATTTTTGAAATTTTTATAAGGTTTCGCCTTTTTGAGTACCTACATCACATCACTTTAAAAAACTTTTTTTTTGAATAATAATAGGGTCTGCTAATTTTTGTAATTATAGTTGCGGGTGGAAGACATTGTTCAATCCATAAAAGTAAATACTTTCCTAAATTAGTACATAAAAAAACAACTTTCTAGACCATAGCCAGGTTAGCAACTCTAAAAAAAAATTTTATGACCCACCCTAATATATATATATATAATATATATATATATATATATATATATATATATATATATATATATATATATATATATATATATATATATATATATATATATATATATATTATTATAACATTATATTTATTATAACGTTCTCAATGTTTAAGTCTTCTAAATATTATCAACATTTCTAACTTGTAATTATGTAGAATATGATAGGTTTTTTTTTTTGTTTTAATATATAATCTTTAGTAATTATATTAGGAAGAAACAATTATTAAAAGTTATAACAGTTGCAGAAAAAGAAATTATTAAAAATTATAACAAAGCTAGTTCTATCTAAAGTGTATGCAAGAGTGTGTTTTTATGCAAGAGTGTGTGTTTATGCATTTAAAATTTAATAGCATTTAAAAAAGAAAAAAATCTTTTAAAAAAAATTTAAAAAGAAGAAGATATGAATTTTTTATAAATTTATTTTTTAAAGACTAATATATAAAAAGTACTACAACTTACAAATGCATTTCATATTTTAACTTAACATCCAAAAACTTACAGGTACTGCAAGAGAAGTCATACCAAATCCAATACCACAATAGAAACAACCAAAGAAAGTAAACAAATTTGCAAAGTCTGCCGAGTTCTGTAATTTTGGACTACCAAAAATTAGCACCACATATCCGAAAAAGTAGATTGTTGAGATCATAAGTATAGTTGATTTTCTTCCAATCTTATCAATACAAATCCCAGAGAATAAACTTCCAATCGATGCAGCAATACCAAATAAAATCTAATATAAAGTAAAACATTTAAAAAATATCAAAACACACACACAAAAAAAAGTATTTAAGTTCATTTTTAATTAATTTTAAAGATTTTTTTTTTTGTAATTTATTTTAGGTGCCCCAAGAAGACCTAACGGCCTTGTCACAAAGCACCGCGGAAGTGCAATTTACTAGGAAGTTCACGCCTCCTTCCTTATGTGACGCGAAAATATGTTCAGAGCTCGTTTCGAGCCTGGATCTCTCGCTTATAAAGCAAGCGCTCTAACCACTCCGCCACGACCGCACGTAACGCACAGATAATATTAAAAAAACCCTTAACTTGTCTTTAACATAAAAAAATATGGGAAAAATATTTTTATTGTAAAGCTAATATATAAATAAATATATATATATATATACAATTTTTTCATAATTTATGTAAAGCTTTTTTATAATTTATGTAAAGTAATAAAAGTTTTTTATTTTGAATATGCAAAACAATAAATAAATTTAGCAATAAACTTTTGAAATTAAGATAAAAACATTATGATTTTTTTTTATTTTAATCATATATATATATATATATATATATATATATATATATATATATATATATATATATATATATATATATATATATATATATATATATATATATATATATATATATATATATATATATATATATATATATATATATATATATATATATATATATATATATATATATATATATATATATGTGTGTGTGTGTTTTTCCACCAAGGTTCTTTTTAAGGAATTTTTCAGCTTAATCAAAAGAGTAATCATAAAAAGATTGGCCAGACTAAGAAGAAACAGAACGAATTCAAAAGGAGAAAATTTGTAAAAAAACGGGAAATTCAGTTTGGAAAAAAGAATGGAGAAACATGCCAGGTTTCGTCATTGACAATAATTCTTTCCTAAGAGAGCGATAAAAAAAGGAGTTGTTGCGATGGTAATGAGGAGTGTGACGAAGCTACTAATTTAGAAAACAGCTCATATAGTGGACATGATTCTAAATATCGCAATGAATTTCAGTACAAAGACCTCTGTCAATCAATGGAACGATAAGAGTTAGCAACCGATATGCGAAGTCATTAACGCATGCTTAAAAGATATATCATTCGATTCACCACAATACATATTAGGTTCAATAATATTTAGAAGATAAAGAAACCTGTGGCGATAAAAAGATTTCGAAATACATGCAGAAATACCCACAGGATCATTGGAATTGGTTTTGATAGCTGTACAGACAAAACCCTAAAGTTAGTGGAACAAGACGATGTTCATTTCGTTATCTGTTCATATCGTAACAGCGCCTACTTTGATCACATTTGTCATCAATGTGGTAAAGCAGTTGATGTTGCAAAAAAAAATTATTTCATTTTTAAACGACAGAAGTTTTCTTGTGACTTTACAAAGTATTGTTTGTGATGGAACCAATGTAAACATGGGCCGGAAAAATGGTATCATTCGTTTACTTGAAACTTGTACTGGAAAACCTCATCAATGGTTTGTTTGCTTAATTTGAATGAGCTACCTCTTAGAGCCATTTTCACTGCACTTAATGCCAGTGTATCTGGCCCTACTGTATTCAAAGGCATTCTTGGTGATCAACTATCTTTTGATGTTCATTTTTAGCTAAAAAAATTATTGTATGTAGAAGTGAAGATAATACTGATAGAGTACGTATTTTTTCTGTACAAAAGATTTCTATCAATTTCTATGCTTCCTCATATTTAGATATGATCAATTGGTCAAATTTTGATATCTCTCTTCCTCCAATTTTATCTGAAGTGAACAATAAAAACCTCGTTATCAATATTACAAATAGCACTCTTCAAGTTCCTGATATTACATGTTATTCTCAAAATTTTGAACGTCAGGTCAAAGAAATATCTACAGTATCCAATATTGTCACAATCTATGAAAACGTCATGAAATGCTTGTTTCCGCTTGAAACTCAAAACTTAAAAATCTAAAATTCGACAGTAAAAAGGACTTTATATAAGGATTTTGCATTTTCACATTCATTTTTAATATACAAATATAGCTTTAATTCTTTACATGGTACTTTTAACTATTTTAAGGTTATATGTAGACAAATAATAGTGGATCTCATACCCATAAAATATAAGCAAAACTTGCCCCCTTTAAACTAAATTTAAAAAGGCTAATATCACTGAATAACAACCCAAAAATATCTTGTTTGATGATTACATTTTCTAAAGCAGTTTTTCATGCTGATTACAAATCTGAAAACCGTTTTTCTCTATCATGTCAGGTTTTTAAGATATTAACATAAACATACATTTTTTAATCCCTTATTGTTACGAATGAATAAGAAAATAGAGTTTAGTTTACTAAGTTAATAACAGATGGCAACACTAAACATATTCTTTTGATATTTTAAATTGATATATTTGTTCTGAAAATAGGTCTTTAGTGTACTTAATTTGTAACTGTATGTTTATTAATGAGTTGTGTGTTTATTATGAGTTATACTATTCCTATATATTTGCTATTTTTTTTCAGTGAAAACAATGGCGTCTAGAGGCTGCATCAATTCACCAGACTTGTTTTGTTATGTGTGCGGCTATCTCACAGACAAAGGCCACCGAAAGACATTTACACCATTTCTGAGAAAAGCTTATGAACTATACTTTGATTCAAAGGTTGACAGCGGCAAGTCATGGGCACCACAGTTCATTTGTTTGACATGTGCATGCAACTTACGGGGTTGGATAAGGAATGCTAATAATAACAACCATCTGGCATTTGGAGTTCCTATGATATGGCGTGAGTCAAGCAACCACATCACTGACTGTTATTTCTGTTTGACAAATGTTACAGGTTTCTCATACAAGACTCGTTCATCTGTGAAGTATCCAGATATTCCCTCGGTTTCAAAACCAATTCCACATGATCCAGTCAGTTGTCCAATACCAACATCACTTACAGAATACAGAGTCGATGATGCAACACAAGAAGAAAGTTCGTCTTCCAGCAACATGGCAGACTCTGACTACAATCCTGATGATGATGAAATTCATTTGGTTAATAATGATGATCTTTGCGACCTTGTACGGGACCTGGCACTAACAAAAGGTCAAGCTGAACTGCTAGGTTCACGTCTGAAAGAGTTTAATTTGCTATCACCAGGTACAAGAACTTCACAATTTCGACATAGACACAAATAACTCGTGCAGTTCTTTGCAATGAGTGACAATATGTGCTACTGCACTGACATCCAAGGTCTTATGTCAAGCCTCGGTGTAGAACATAAGACTGAAGCATGGCGTCTATTTATTGATTCCTCCAAGGCAAGTTTGAAGGCTGTATTATTACACAATGGAAACATGTATGCATCAGTACCGGTTGGTTATTCTACTCATCTAAAAGAGACGTACGAAACCATGTCGCTACTTCTTGAACAAGTTTGCTATCGCGATTACAATTGGAATATGTGTGGTGATTTAAAAGTGATCACTATTCTCATGGGAATGCAGACAGGGTACACCAAGTACTGCTGCTTTATCTGCGAGTGGGACAGCAGAGATAGGAAGCACCACTATATAAATAAGAATTGGCCCATTAGAGATAAAATGGATCCAAGTAGTAAAAACGTCCTGCATGTGCCATTGGTTGAGCGTGAAAAAGTTCTTATGCCTCCACTTCATATAAAGCTGGGGCTCATGAAAAACTTCGTGAAGGCATTAGACAAAAACTCAGATGCTTTTTGGTACCTATGCAACAAGTTTCCAGAGTTGAGTTATGCGAAAGTGAAAGAAGGTGTATTCATAGGTCCACAAATAAGGAAGATCATAGCAGACAGTCACTTCGAAGATTTACTCAGCAGAACTGAAAAAAAAGCATGGTTGGCATTTAAGTCTGTTGTAGCCAATTTCCTTGGAAATAATAAATCTCCTGACTATGTAAATATTGTGCAGAAGTGCATTAGTGCGTACAAGTTAATGGGTTGTAACATGTCCCTCAAGATTCATCTCCTCGACTCACATCTCGACTTCTTTCCAGAAAACCTAGGTTCTGTTAGTGATGAACATGGTGAACGTTTCCATCAGGACATTTCGGTGATGGAGTCACGCTATCAAGGCCGATGGAGTGCAGCAATGTTAGCCGACTATTGCTGGATGCTTCAGCGCAACATGCCAAATTGTCAGCACAAACGCAAGTCTACAGCCAAGAAATTCAAACCAAACTAACTTTTAATTTAAGGAACTTTACGTTATACCTATGTATTTTACAAGTGTATTATATTTTAAACTATGTGTATTTATGTTAAGTAGTACTCTATTCAGCGATATATGCTCTACTGTAACTTGCCTGCGAGTTGTTTGCTTTGATACAATATTAAACATATATAAATGGTCAATGCCAAATAACTCAACAACGGTGGGTGATAGAGACATACGGTTTCTATATTTGTAATCAGCATGTCTTACTTGTCTTAAAACAAGTGTTGGTTTCCAAGATATTTTCCGAAATTTTTTTTTTGTTATTCAGTGTATTTTTCAGGTAGTCATATTACATGGTGTAGCAACTTTTCCCAAATATAACCTAATAAATTCTAACTCTAATAAATTTATATATATACATATATATATATACATATATATATACATATATATACATATATATATATATATATATATATATATATATATATATATATATATATATATATATATATATACATATATATATATATATATATACATATACATATATATATATATATATATATATATATATATATATATATATATATATATATATATATATATATATATATATATATATATATATATATATATATATATATATATATATATATATATATATATATATATATATATATATATATATATATATATATATATATATATATATATATATATATAAGGCCGGCGCGATAGGAGGGTGTGGGGAGGGGGTGGGACACTCCCCCCCCCCCCATCAATGATTTTTAGTCGGCAAATTG